TGCCTCTGCCTGCCTGCCTCTGCCTGCCTGCCTCTGCCTGCCTGCCTGCCTCTGCCTGCCTGCCTCTGCCTGCCTCTGTCTTTCTCTGCCTGCCTGCCTCTGTCTTTCTCTGCCTGCCTCTGTCTGTCTGTCTGTCTGTCTGTCTGTCTTGATGGATAGAATGGATATCATACATGATCAGATTAGAAGCTCAAGCTTGGTTAATATGTGAGATCTAGTTGTGCCATTCCATTATTCATGAAGATATTTTAATTTTTGAAAGTGCTTCATGTAAGAAGTGTGTGACATTTTTAACATTTTCTGCAAAAATGACTGCTAATATTTTTCTCGAATAGAAGAAAGTGAATTTATTTTGGTATAGTTCCAATTTTCATTAAAATCTGAAATTTTGAAAATTGTATAACTTCTAATATTTTTTGAACCTGTCCTACATCTCTGATATTAAAACAAGAGATTTCTTTCTCAGTGCTATTTATCTTTCAATTTAAAGCCTTAATGTTACATACAACATTTTTAAAATATGAATAGTCGTGTAACATAAATCGTGACATTTTTCAAAATATATAATTTTAAAAAATGTATAACGAACACTGAGATATATGGAACCTGAAGATATACGAACCAAAATAGTGTTGGTAGTATTCTAAACAATAATTTCTGTATTTTGGCTATCTGTTCACATAGGAGAATACGGTCAGTCAATATTTTCAGTCTACTTTCCAGTAGAGTGAAGATGCCACCATCAGCACGTTTAGTATTTATTATTTATAGTATCCATGTTATGTTTTTCATGTTACTAAGAGGAAGAAAAGATGTGCATTATCACTATTTCTTTTATGAAAATATTTTTCGAAACAGGTTTGGTATAAGGCATAATGTGCAAAGATATTTTCCTGCCTTCCATTGCTCAATATTCTTTTACAATAATTATTTGCTTTTCATTAATGTTTACATTTTGATTAATTAAGATTATGATGCAAATTTAATAAATTGGGATGGATGTAATATTAATTTAAACTTTGTATTATTTCAAATATTCTTTCTTATGAGCATAATGTATTCAAGCTTGTACAATTCAAATGGTTTTTGTGTATTAAATTCCCACCACCATTGCATGGTTTCTAAGGTTTGTAACTTGTTGCCCTTGTAACTGCTTTATTAGATACATTTGATTATAGGAACATGATGCGAGGTGATGGAGGTAGTCAGATGTGTACTGCTAGTGTTGACATATCTGATCCTGGACAGGATGCCAAAGATTCTGAGTCAGGAGCATATTCTGCTGATGTGGCGGGAGCAGACAAAGATAGTATTGCAGTAAGTTCAAGTGGAGGTATGTTAAAATTATTCTCTTAATTATCATAGTGGTACTATGATATTCTCAACAAGACTCAAATATTACTGAAAATTTGTCTATTTAATAAGTGTGAAACGGAGCCTTCTCAGCAGTTCCTTCTCTTCAAACATCTGTTAAAAAAAATACAAAATGACTTTGTTGAATGAATTAAGAAATTGGAACAATCAAGCACCAAAAGGAAACAATGTAGAATCGTGAAATATTTTCTGTCTGTGTGTTCGCACAAGGGCAAGAATGTTGCTAGCAATGCTGCTAATTTTGTCTGAAATTAGAAGCTGTGGGAGAACATTGCAAAATAATTTGAGATTGAAGAAATCATAATGAAACAGAATGCGTAGGCTTGCTCATCGAGAAAAGGCTGACAGATCACCAACAAGAAATTACGTTTTATTTTTGACCATTGTTACAAAGCAATTGGAATGGAATTTGAGTTGTATTTGAAGATTTTTATCTTCCTTTCCTTCCGTTTGGACTCACTCGGATGTTGACTGTACCACATTATTTGGAATAAAAAAGTACTGACTAGAGAAAGAATTGTAGCCCACTTGACACTATCAGTTGTCTGCTGTTAGAAGCTTTAATACTGCAAAGTACTTTCATAATCATTCAATGGATAAGCAAACTTCAAATGGGATTCTCCTGTTCAAGCTTGTCATTAAATGTTTATGTATGTAGTTTGCAGTATTGAAGCTTTGGATAGCCAAACTTCAAATGGTGTTGGAATGCTCAACTTGTCTTATTTTAGGGTGTTTGGCAGTCTAGTCTATCATGTTAGAGAGACTTGAAGGCAAATTTGTTCAGTGGGTGAAGCAGGAAATTTTCCACAGTTATTCTGAAGAATCTACAGCTTTACGACTATGGTTTGAGATAAAGATCCTCATAAGCAGAGATGTCAGATTCAGTGGAAAAATCGAACCACCTTAAGAAGGAAATGGAGGAATTACCCAACTTAGATAAAGGAAATTGAATGAGGGAAAAAGACACTTCATTAATATTGTGTTCTTTTCATCAGGAAATAATGGACTCGGCAGAAGTTGAAGATGATCCAGATGTGAGGCTTGTCTTTAATGATTGTCGAGGCTTTGGTGATGTGGGATCACTACATGTCTCTAATATCAACAAAAGTTACGTTTTCTCAGATGCAGAAAGTTATAGGAATAACAGGACAGACCATTGTTATTACAGCACCCTCTTGAAGACCATTACAACTGAAGTTGTTCAGGGCATGCAGGGCCAAGGAAGCCAGTTAACACAGTTTCTGGCCTGATCAAAGGATCCAACAAGTAGAACAGAATTTTCTCTGCAAGGTACCATTTAAAGAAGCACTGAAAGGCTCTGTTGCAACTGAGTGGCATCAGGTGACTGCTTCTGAACTGAAATCCATCCTGAACTATGAACCATGAGACTGTATAGACCATTCATGAAACCAGATGGTCATAAGTTGTTGAATAGTGCTGACAAAGGAGCTTCAAGCTGATGGAATGCTTGAGAAATAGAGAGCGCATCTGGTTGGGCTGCCCAGAAGTTAACTTCACAGAAACATTTAAACCAGTGGCCTTGGCTATTTGGCCATAACCATTTGTCTCATGGCATCCCTTGCTGCTAGCCATGAAATGATGCTACAAATCTTGAGATCGATATTGTGTATTAAATGACCGTCTTGAAAAAGAGATTTATCCAACGAAGAGATAAAGCTGCCTGAAACTCTTCAAGAGATCCTGCAGGTCATCATAAATAGTCTGGAAAAATGGCAAAATATGTAAATAAAAAATGATATGAATATGTGACAAATATGTTAAAAGGGATATAATAATTGGTACCAAAATGCGCTCTTATTTATAGAACATTTATAAACATGCAAAATAAATTTTTACAATTTGAAGTTACATTAATAAAATAATTGTTAAACCAATTTTTAAAATAAATATTGTTTGTTCTACTGAATTAAAGAATTTAAGAGTACATTTTTGTGTTTGAGAGCAATAATAGCCATTGTATGTACATGGGACCTCAATGACCAGCAAACAGTCACTTAAGCATTGTCATCATAGTGTTTTATGTTTGCAATAACCAATATCTCTCATAAATTGGTTTGAATGAAGAATCACAGTGTTACTGTTACTTTTCACACCTAAAGATAATGTTCTCAGTGCTCTGGCGTTCTTGTTGCAACATTCAGTGCAGACATTCAGCCTGACAGACTACATGCATCTGACTGTGTTTTTGTATGGAGAACCTCATGTCATCAGCAAGCAATTCTGAGTATGTGCCAGGAAAAAATGCCTATTATTGAAGTAAACTTTATTTTTGAAAATTCATTAAATATTTTTAACGAAATAAATTTAAGAAAGTTGATTGAATAATAAAAATTTTGGAAAATCTGTTAAATATAAGCAAAATATATAGTATAGTACATAATGGGTACAAATATGTGATGAAAAACTTGCATATTGTCTTAGGTTTTCTGTGATTCGTCAAGAGCACAATTTCGACAACTAAATGTAGAAAGACGAAAGTAATGTAATTGCATAAGAATCTGGTCTCATTAAAGACAAAGATAATGTTTACAGATCTTGAAAGAGACAGCAAGGTATGTTGTTTAAGAAAATGTTTACACAGGTTGCAGTGAGCTGTGAGAAGCTACTACACCAAATTGGATTAAACTATGAAGAATTTGAGTCTCTATCCCATCTGAATTTGACCTCTGTTTGTTCTTTATTGCCTCTGGAGAGAATGCAACTCTCATCAGAACTTACATCGATGAAGTCTTAATATCGTCACACAGTAAGATGATGATGATTATGATGATGATGATCTCTGAGCTTGTCAGAAGGCTCGTGGCCAACATTAAAGTTAAGGGCCTCAGGTCTGTCAAATATTTCCGAGGGACAGTGTTGTAGTAGTGAGGCAAGTGACATCAGAAGGGCTGCAAAAAGGAGATACTATTGGAGTTCAGTATGGCAGATTGAAATGTAGAATCCATTGTAGTGGGTCTGTAGCTTGAGCTTCAAGCCAAAGAAGAACCAATTATAATCTTCAAATGGCCCATAGTTTCCCTTCTGTGAACTAGTCAAACTCTTGCCTAGCTAATATCAACCATGTGCTGTGACATTGCATTTGCTGCAATCTGTTTGGAGTAAATTTAACAACTGTGTTGGACATAAAATGTTTTGTCATATAATATCTGATAGTTAATAAAGTAATTCTTCATAATTTTACTTTTAATTTTATCATTTTAAATTTTTTATCAACGTGTTTGTTGCCTTTTCTACAGGAGCTTTGATAAATAATGCTGAAGACAGATTAGACTCATTACTCAAAACACTTGCTAAGGAAACACTGAATTCAACTAAAGATGATGATTCAAAGAATACTATTTCATCTGCTGATGGCAAAACTGGTGGTAAGTTTGCTGATTGGTATATTTAGTTTTCTCTTCTAGAAAAAGAGGAAAGATTCTTATTTTTGTTCTGTTAAGTGTAAATCTTAATGGTTAAAGTTGTCAGTTGATTGTATTACTCACAACAGTGATTACTTCTATTACTGTTTACATTTTTTGAGCTTAACCTTTCACAATTCAGATTTCTGTGCTTTTTCCTCATTGGGAATCTTCTTGGAACTGTTATAAAATTCCAAAGAGTGTAGCAGATTAAAATGTATTTTCTTCAAAGTTTCAAGATTGGGCCCTAATTTCATTGCTAATTGGAATTCAAGTAACGTATTTTTCTATTAAGAACATTACTTTGTAAGTCTTGAATGTGACAAAAGAATTGATTGAATTTCAGATCTTAGAAATATTCACTACTTTCTGATAGAATTTAATGTGAAATCTTGTGTGTCAAAATTGTATAACCTGTTGTTGAGAGATTAGTCTTCCTTAATCGTTTGAATTGGGCAAATGGTGGTTCATCCTCCAATTTCCAAACAAAGATTAATTCTAATAATTTCAACTTCAAATAAAATGGAAGTTGTAATGGAAAGGAATGAGTATAGATGTTAATATGATGACAGTGTAACATTTGCTATATTTCTGAGCTTTTAATTGGATGAAATTTGAAAATGGGTTTGTTTAGGAACAATTATTTGGATAAAGTTATTGTTCATCCTATTAATGCTTTTCTTTTGGATAATAACATTATAAACTTTTTACTAGGGACTTTCCGTAGATATAATAATATTAGTATATTGTGTTCCATTGTTTGTTTAAAATGTTTTGATAACTAGAACACCTCAGTGCTTTTATAGATATCTGAAATGACAAACAATAAATCATCCGCCAGATGACATGTAATAAATAAATTTCATTTTAGGTATGTGCTAAATGGAGAGTTAAACATTTTTTTTTCTTTTTCCATAGATGCAGAACTTTCGAAATCCAGCTTAACTATGGGTTCTGACACCTTAATTGATAGCCGGACTCTACCTAACAACCAGAATTGCAAATTTGTGACTGTGGGTGTAGCAGGTGGAGCTCGGCCTATACCACCTGATCAGCTGAAATGTAACATTTTGAAAGGTACTTGCAGTGGAACTCTTCACTTGCTTTTGAAAGCTCTTTGAGATAACAGATTGATAGTATCATAAATCTACCAGCCTGATGTTCTCTCTGTTCTTCAATGTTATTTTTCTTTCTTTCTTACTTTCTTTCTTTCGTTCTTTCTTTCCTTCTTTCTTTCTTTCCTTCCTTCTTTCTTTCTTTCCTTCTTTCTTTCTTTCCTTCTTTCTTTCCTTCCTTGCTCCTTTCTTTCCTTCTTGCTTTCCTTCTTTCTTTCTTTCCTTCTTTCTTTCATCTTTCTTTCTCTCTCTTACTCTCTCTTTCGTAATCTCTCATAATCTCTCTTTCGTAATCTCTCTCTTTCTTTCTTTCTCTCTTTCTATCTTTCTTTCTCTCTCTTTCTTTCTCTCTCTCTTTCTTTCTTTCTCTCCTTTCTTTCTCTTTCTCTCTCTCTTTCTCTCTCTCTTTCTTTCTCTCTTTCTTTCTCTCTTTCTTTCTCTCTTCTCTCGCTCCTTTCTTTCTCTCTCTTTCCTTTCTCCATTTTCTTTCTCTCTTCCTTCTCATCTTTCTCTCTCCTTTCACTTTTCTCTCTCTCATTCTTCTCTCTTTCTCTTCTCTCTTTCTCTTTCTCTCTCTCTCTTTTCTTCTCTCTCTTTCTTTCTCTCTCTCTTCTTTCTTCTCTCTCTCTCTCTCTTTTACTTCTCTTTCTTTCTCTTTCTCTTTCTATCTCTCCTCTCTTTCTTCCTCCTCTCTTTCTTTCTCTCTCTCTCTTTCTTCCTTCTTTTCTCTCTCTCGCTTCTTTCTTTTTCCTCTCTTCTTTCTCTCATCTTCTTTCTCCTCATCGTTCTTTCTCTCTCTTTCTCTTTCTTTCTTCTCTCATTTCTTTCTCTCTTGTTCTTTCTCTGCTTTCCTTTCTCTCTCTTCTTTCCTCCTTCTTTCTCTCTCTTTCTTTCTCTCTCTTTCTTTACCCCTTTCTCTCTTTCTTTCTTTCTTTCTCTCATTTCTTTCTCCACTGCCTCTCTTTCTCTTTCTCTCTCTCTTATCTTTCTACATCCTTTTTTCTCTCTCTCCTCTCCTTCTCTGACTTCTTTCTCTCTCTCTTTCTTTCTCCTCTCTTTAATATTCTCTCCTCTCTCTCCACCTCCCCCCCCCGGACCCTCTCCCCCTCCTTCCACCCCTCTGCTCTCACCTCACTCTCCATCCCATACCACCTCTCCCCTCTCCCCCTTCTCCCCCCCTCTCACGCCCCCTCAACCCCTTCTCCCCCTCTTTTCCCCTCTCTCCCCTCATCCCCCTTCTGTCATTGATATGTATAGTATAATAATAATATATATTAGTATATAATATAAGTATATAGTATATAATATATATACTATATATAATATACATATTATAATCATACTATATAAACAATTTATATACCATATATATATACTATATATTAAATATACAATATATATATTATAATATATTATATATATATATAAATATTAATATATATATATATATATATATACCATATATATATATAATATATATATATATATCTTTACTTTCAATTGCTGTGCATTAGTGTCAGTTCAAAATGAGTTAATAGAAATAAATTTCTCTAGAAACCTGGATCTAATGAAGTGTAAGACAGAAAAATTTGTAGGAGGTTAAGTATTTTTCAAATTCATTTTGAATGAAAGCCTTTATTGTAGAGTAGGTGATGTGGAAGGATTGGGCCCCCAAATAATTTTTCTGTTGCAGTTGTGTACAATCTGGTAATTTTCAATATCTTTCCCCACATCCAATTATTGGAAATTTCACCACTCACCTCTTAGTTTCAGATAACCTGTCAATTTCATTCATTTTATTTTGTCCAACATCAAGTTCCAATTACTTATATATGGAGAAATTGTTCTTATGAAACAAAGGGGAAAATTTCACAACAATCTCATGATCTTAAGCTATACCTATAAAGTAATAGTAAATATCATGTTCGTATGCAAAGTCTCTCTCTTTCTTTCATCCAGGTACTCGCCTCAACACTTACATTTTTTCATCTTCACAAATGTCAAGAGCAAAAATGAATCAAGTGCATTCATTTTACATTCACTGAGAAATCCATGATGTGATAACAAAACAATTTATAATATGAGAGTTAACCATAAATAGAATGGAGTATTTACTGAGAAAAAAATGTATGATAAATTAAGATGATTAATCTCATGTACATCATTTAACATAATCACTTGAAATATTGATATCTTCATTAATAGTTTCTTCATGGAGCAGGGTTTACATTAAGTGTCTTATTTACTTCAGTTTTAGTAAAGTTTGCTATCCTGAAAGGTATTTTGTCATTCATCATTTCCTTAAATAGCAATGATTTGTTTTTTAATCATATATTTTTCACCAAGCAATAATCCCTTCTTCACCTTTTGTACCAAACGACTTCATTGATTTTGCATCTAGTGAATTAACAGATAAAAGCTCATCAACATTCATTTGTAGAACTGTGATTATTTTTATGTTTGTTTGATTGTATCCACCCATTGAAAGGGTATATTCATGATCTGGATCACACTTGTACGTGTTTCAATTTAATCAAAATTTTAATCACACTCTGCGCATGTTTGTGCTATGTCTGAAGAAATTTATGATTACTAGTTTCTTTGCTGCATTGTCTTGAAATACTCATCCAAAATTTATTGATTTATTTATTGATTATATTTAATTATTCTGTGATATTGAAGTTTTGACTCTCACAACAATCACTGTATGCAATCATGTGACATGATAAACTAGTAAGACTATTTCAGTATCTGTTTAAACATGACCCAATCTCTTGAGACCTGTTTGAGTCTGTAATTTCCCCCCAAACAAACAATGTCACTTTTCACTTTTTAAGTCTTAGTTTTTAACTGACTAAATAAAAGAAGATTTAAAAAGTATCATCATATGCTTCCAGTAGTAGTTCTATTCTCTGAACATCAGAATCCTTCGTTATTATCACTTGAAACACATGCGTCCATAAAATCAAGGATAGGTAATCTGGCTCACATGCATGCTTTTTGCTCCCAATTTTTTCTCACCAATAATTAGAAATGTTTCTCATGACTAATGAACAATTTTCTTGTGAAAGATACTATATTTATTTACATAAAATAATACTCAAATTTCAACACAATGTCACTTACCTGATTCTTGTTCTGAACCCCTCAATTTCTATTCGGTATTTATTTCATTCTATGTTCTTTGGCAATAACTGACGATTATGAATCTTTTTAGCATCTGTTATATTAAATCAAAGGCATCTGGTATTGAAATTCAATTGTGTTATGTAATGGATTGTAGAAGAGGTGTTACTGGATACTTAACCCCCCCTTTTTTTCCAGCCAAAATTGAAGAAGAAAGTAAAAAAATTAACGCAAACAGTCGAGATGAGAAGAACATTTTATCTGGGTAAGTTATTTCTTAGTTTTAAAATAAAACATTTCTATCTTGAAAAATGTACTTCAAAAATGTTTCTTTGATTAATGTATCGTTAGTTTTGGTAGCCAAAATTAATTGTACCCTTTTATCATGATAATAATTAAAGTTTTTATTGTCTTCGGTCATTAAGAATTGTCATCGACTGAGTAGGACTCCAGTATTAAGAAGTTGCCAGTCACACATTGTGGGAGATTTTGATCGCACTGTTATTTTTCATTGAAATTACATTTATATAATTATACAAAACATATGACCAACATAAACAATCAAATACAATAGACACTGGCCACATTTATATCATATGTTCTTCTTCTTCTATCAAACTATACACATAAAACAAATATTGGAATAACATACTAATTTCAAGTGTATGATTAAATAATTTTTATTTGAATTATTTACAAAACCTGTCAAGAAAATTTGATTGTATTATATGTTTATGTAAAAAATATTAATTCTCAGGCTCATCCAATGGAATTCTCTATATGGCACCAGCACTATTTCATTTCAACCCTGTTTAATTTAACAATGCGTTGAGAATAACTGAAACATACATTTCATTTCAATCATACATGTGGGAAAAGTATTCCTGATAAAACTTGAATGTATATTTCTTTTCCCGCCGGTGTCATTTGAGCAATGAGAGAATCATTCACTTCAGTTACTGGTACAGTCCTGTCCCCAACTGTCACAACAGGAACAAAGTCATCTTCATCTAAATCCAGAGTGCCTATTTCATCTTGGACAATTGATGTCATATCCCGGTTATCTTCTTCACCACTAGGGTCACTTCCACTCTCGTTATGACCTGGTATAACAACCTTCACTGCAGCAGCAGTTGACAGGCCACAGCCCCCACGTTTCTCATGAGCCAGCAAAACTGACATAATATCTTTCTGACCCTTGCCACATTTAACACTGAATATGATAACATTTAACACAGATGAATATGATAATTTTGATTTTTTTAAAAATATTTTTACATTAATGATGTAAAATGTAAGATAAAGAGGCATTATTTTGATAACTCGAACGCAAAGTCAGTTTATGGAAAGATATAATATATTATGTTTCTCAGTCTTACCGCTGACAACAAAATGTCTGGGGACCTATTCTGATAGCCTATGGTGAACATGAGGAAAAACTATAGGCCTCTCGCTAATGCAGGGGTTATTATCTTTTAACTTGGAGTGAGATTATGACATTACTTACCTCTCACTTATCAACTGATTGAGAACGTAGGCATAAATTAGAACCTAATACTTTTAACTTTTAAACAATTACAGGATTCACAAGTGTTCAAAATTTGGTTACAATGTTGTGACTGATAAATCGCATGGGTCTAGTTTCCTTATCAGTAATTTTAGTCTAGTTCTTTTATAACTTGTGGTTCTTTTGGTTAATGTTCAATAAGTTTGTAAGTAGCCTTTTTATGACATTATTCTGCTTCATTTTGACTCTTAAAAAACAAAATCAAGCAGAACATTACATTAGTATCCCTAAGAATATCTTCCACGGGTTGTATGTATACCTGTAGGTGTATCCTCTGTTAGCAGGAAGGAGGAGGCATGTTGTGAAAGAGGGAGGGGGAGGGACGCCATTCAGTTTTCAGTTTGGTCATGACCCACCAGATCCACACGCCGGTCCCAATGCCTACTATCACTGATGAAGATACTGGGGCTGCCTCTCTTTCACTGATTCATCCTCCTCCCAGCATCTCAACTCAATCATCTGCTGCACACCCTGTCCTATTTATGGAATCCAGTAACAATGTTTATTTGCGAGAACAGTTCTGCTCATCAACTATGCATTTAATTTGTGAACTTAGTCAAAGTCTTCGTCCACAGTTACCACTTACTTGTTTACTGCTCAGTGTGAGAATTTTTTGCAACTGGGTCGGCCTTACCATATTACCACAAAACTAAGTATATTTTCAGAGTCGTTTATGATGAAATGCAGCACTCATTTTAAAATGTGTAAGTCCTACAAGTTTGGAAGTAGTAAGTGTGTAAGTTTAGTAGTAAGTTAAGTTAGTGAAATAGTAAGCAAGTTAGTAAATATTTTCCCTGTTAATTAGGCATCCCGTTAGTTCCGCGGCGTGTGTGTCCTCCCAGTAAACCTCAGCTGCCTCCACTCTCCTTACACTTACGATCCAACTCCGAGGTGAGGTGATTGGCGATACCCTTTCTCTGATCAGGTCCCCTGCCTTGTCTGATTAGTAAAGTAGGCCAGTGGGTCTGGATATGTATTTAACATCTCTAGTGCACCATTCCATGTTACAGCAACCATAAAGCTGTTTTTATGGGATTGAGTTGTTCAATCTAGGTTTTCAATATGTCATTTTAAAACAAAAGAGAAAACTATAAAGAGATAACTTTATTATCTACAAAATTTAAACACAGACAATTCGAAGTTTTCACAAATGTTATTCTCGCTGGAATAAATTTACTTAAATTTGACCAACCATTATTAGAATAAGTCTTGTACATTTTGGATTCCATTATTTTACTCTAAATTATCTTTTCTTTAAATATTAGAAGTACTCACCAATATAGGTTTCTTGTGCATTTTGTTTTTCTAATAAAGAGCATAATCATTCCGAATAACCCTCCTGAAATGTATGTCACACCCTTTTTCAGAAATCCATGTTTTTAAGTCTCTTTGAAAGGAGGTTGTATAGTTTGTTTTGTTTTTTTATGTTTATTCAACTATAATTTGCACAAATGAATTTGAATATTTCCTTTGTTGTCAAGGGTATAATTTCCCAGAGATGCCTTGGAAGTTTAATGATGTTTTGATAATGGGATTCAAAGAAATGGTGCAACACATCCATGTAAACAATATTAGTCACCGATGAATCTGACTTAACTCTAGGCCCTACAAATTTGAAACATTCTTCACATTTTTGTGGGTATTATATATATTGCTCATACGTTTTCAGAATTTTCTCATAACAGATCCAACATTATTCTTTTAATGTCTTGATTAAATATATCAAAGTCAGCTTTTTAAGGTGCATTCATTTTCATTATAATCTCTGGATTTTTGAAAATATCAAAAGTTAAACTTTTGTAATGTCCCTTGCACATATAGTATTGAAGTTGAATGCATTGTATGCATCAATGATAGCACTTCAGTTAATTTTGTGTTTTTACAAAATATTAGCTTTCACACAATTTTGTATTAAGTCATGTTAATTTTCCACAAATACATGAAGATTTACTTAAAAACTGTTCCACTTTCTTTCTTTTAACTTTTTATATATTAGAGAACCGTTAATTTATTTCTTATTTTAGCAATCTATGATAAGAATTATTGTATTTTCTAGGATGAAGCAACTATTGGAAGAAGAATCATCAAAAATTATACCATTGGATACAGTGAGTGCTACTTTCATATCTGTGGTAAGAATAAGTCATGGAATGTCTGACCAGCCCTTTATTAATTCAGTATCATCTAACATGGTTCCTTAATTTCAACAAAATATTTTATGTATGAACTCTTTAATTTAGTGCATCATGCCTGTTTACACAATTTGACTACATATCATGTGCACTTTTTTTTTTTTTTAGAAAATATTGGTTTTAAATAATTTTATTCTTTCCTATCTTTTGTCCTTCCCCCATAACGATGTGTTCATATCGTTATGGTTCCTTATCTACCA